TATAGAAGTTAACAAAATATTCCGAATCTGACATATGGAATATAAATATGAGTTAAACATACAACAATACGAAAAGTGTAATCGTAGCTAAATAATACTTACTTTTAGATAAATTTACATTAATATAAGTAAAATAGGAAAAGCAAGTCAGAATTTTCAACATCGAACACAAACTCCGATTACAGATTCTAGACGTTAAGCTGGGAAAGTAGAACTCGTATACTTTTAAGACCTTCCTGTTTGGATAACTAGCAGATTAAAACCGTTCATAGCTCGCTACAAACAAATACTGCAGCTGCTGTTACAATACCGCCTTCCAGAAATAGCTATGCCTCCATACTGTTCCCATTTGTGGAGCCACTTTCTTCTTCTCCTTGAGTGTGCTGTACAGTCTGTGACAAAACCATTCGCCTTTGTGCAGTTCCGTAAAATCACTCAGGTAATAAAGGAAATGTCGTACTGTAGAACCAACTGTCTGACTATGGGCGCAATACCCTTTTTGAACAGCTGAAAGTCGCTTAGATACTGAAGAACTTCAATGCCTTTACTCCCGGTGACGAAAAGACAGCGTTTGTAGAGAAACTTTAAAAAGGCTTTTTTGCATTCATGGGCCCTTTGAAAGTGTCGGAAGGAGAAACAGTTGACGAGACAGCATGCGCCACTACAGAACAAGTTATCAGGTCAATTTATTCACCTCCCGTTGAAAAATATTAAATAATTGTGAAGAAAGTACAGGTTTTTAACATTCAAAATGGAAAAATGTAGGATGATTCAAAAGTGATGAGAGCAGCAATTTATTCGAAAGTCTCGGTGCACACACGTGATACTTGAGCACAGGCACTTACGAACTTTTCCTTTGGCGAATAAACCGAAAAGAATATAGCAAATATTAGCATTAAATTTCGTTTTCTTAAATTTAAATTTAATCGTGAATACGTTGAATCTTAATTTTTCAGTGGTGAAATGGTCATATCTCCCACCACGGCTGGAATTTCAAAAACCATGCAGTAGCTTGAATTATCAATACAAATTGTGCGAATATATCTACTACGAAGGATCGATCTCATCTCATGCATCTCCTTCACCGCCCCTCTAATCGCGTTTTGTATTACACTGGTCAGTAAATGAACATGGATACGCAGTGCACTGAATTCTTCCAGGCACTCCTGCAGTCCGCCACACTTTTCTAACCACTCTTCCACGGTTTCTCTGAATTAGCATATTCTGTGATTAGACGTTCTGATAGTAGAGTTGTACTTAACTTCGCCAGATGATAATACTAATTTGATGACTCGAATATAAAGGGTTCCGAAGACCCCGACGTTTAGAAGTCATCTGGTACGACGAGCTGCCCCCTCCCCCCTCTTATCAACTGTCATCCGCCAAGCTTACAAATTGGCCCGTCAATTTCCCTCATTGCGACTGCTCAATAATCTAAAGCAGACATCCGCAGTGGAGAGGCAGACTTACAGCGAGACTAAGGAGGGAGCATGAAATGTTCGATATTCATTGTGATCTTGTAGTTTTTATCGCCGTTTCAAACAAACGTATCGCCTTCTTCTTCTTCTTCTTCTTCAGAGTCACAATTCTTGCTTAGCTCTTACGAGTTCATAAACGGCACAGCTAAGGAGACCGCAACTACTAAATCTTGACAAAATCAATTAAGCACCGACCACCATTTTAATAATACTAAAATAATTAAAATCTGCAAAACCGTACTTATATTTTGTTGTGTTAAATGTGATATCCTGACTATTATCTGTTGTAAGGAAAATGGCGATCTTACAGGCATGGGAACTTTGAACTGTCGGATTCCAACAGTGCAATATTTATCGCTGCCTAATTATAGCAGGGCTTTTATTAACCTAGTTTTTTTCAATAAATATTTTACTTATTAATCAAATCATATTAAAACACTGTTATAATTATGACGCATTTATTGGTAAAATTAATTAAATCTGTAACAGTTCGTTTGCCACCATATGCAAGTCACCACAGCCATATTCCCATGTATCGCTTGCTGACACACTCCCCATCCAAGCTTTCTCATATAATCTTGCTCCCAGCACTGCATTATCTGAGCGTTAGTGAGGCGTATATCGTATCTCATTGCTCACTGATGCGAGGCAAACACAGTTTAAACATATGTTGCGACTCTCAGCGACATACGCGAGTGACCCCTCCCTCCACAGTCATATCTACGATTGCCCTATTGAGAATGTTATGCGGAATAGAGAATTTCCACAGCCAGATGTAGTGGACATTAATTTGATATCTCTAAGAAGTAATAAAAGTTTCAATAGATATAGAAAGCGGAGAGATGTAGAGCTATTTCAGATTGGAGTACGTATATTTTCAAAATACGTTAGTCACAATTTTGTAAGTCTCATTATCTTTGGTGTATTTTATAGCTGTTACAGATACAGAGTTATTTTTTTCTCAAATCTTGAGAATTTAAAATATGTCCACCTGACATCTTCATGAGATGTTGTCTCATTTTATTTTAGTACAACTGGATTGTTATTGTCATTATCTTAAGCGTCGTTATATTAACATCGTTGCCTTCGTAACACTGTTCAAATGTTTTTAATTTTACGTAAATATTTAAAATGACGGAATATCATGTCCGGTGACTTAAACAGAATCAAAATCTTTACAAAACTCCCAGAACTCTGTCCAACTCATTTATCGATGTAATGTGATAAATCTGCTTTCATGATCACTGGGATAGTGCACGTCGGCTTCAGGTTTCTGATTATTTCGAGTGCATCAGCTAACATCAGATCATGTAAAACAAATAACAAGGAGGAGGATGTTGACTTACCGTAGTGTCTGCACACAGACGCATCTCCTGGTGCTAGACGCTCTGCTTGGACATACCACTGCTCGGCCTCGCCTATGCGCGTGCGCTGTGATAAAAGACACCCTTTGTAAGATTCGATTCTGTTAAGAAATACCACCAGCATGTGCATAACATGTTTCCCGGAGAAAAACATTTTTCAGTACCAATTCGCCCACAACGAACCTCACGAGATTTAACCCAAACCTCTACTTGAGAAATTAGTATCTAGAAGCTTTAACTATAAAATTCCGTAAGTTATACTTGAATTTAAAGATCTACTTAAAAGTGTAATTAAAACCAAAAAAAGAACATTCAATCTACTTACATAATTTTTGTGCACAGAAGAAAGCTAATTTTTATGTAATAACACTACAGCGCAATATAGACTATTCCATACGAAGTTTTCAGTTGATATACTCACATTACGAGCTAGCAATTTTCCGTAAGTGAGATGTGCTGGCACGTGGTCTGGCCGTACGGAAAGGGACGCCCTGAACCAAGGTTCGGCTTCAGCGTCTCTACCCAGACGACTGTATGCCTCTCCCAACATGTTGAACAGACTCTGCATTGTAACATGTCATAAAATATTCACCTATGGGGACAGAGTTATTACGTCTGCATGCAAAAATATTCACAACTCTAATGGGTTGCGTTTATATATTCTTTTGAGAAACAGAGAATGTGATATCACAGCATCTTCAGTCAAGTGAAATCCATACTCACAGAGGACAGTATTTGGATTTGCATCTTATAATACCGAAGATGTACGCAAACGCATAGTACCAACGTAAAGAAGCATCTGGCCAAATAACGAGACATGCCGACGTCTCAGAATTGTTAAACTTAGAATTCCGTAGTAAATGTAATTTTTTCGCGAAAGTTCCAAGCCGGTATCTATGAAACAAGAAACACAATAAGTTTCACGTATTCTCAGAACTTGAGTTGCAATGGCAACGACTCAGAACGTTATAATTCTGGGCTGAACAGTTTGGTAAATAT